AAACTACCGTTTCACAACATTAAACCTACACAAATTAAAAATATCTAGAACGACGAGAAACAGTTTTACATGAGATTTGAGTTTTTTTTTAAAGGGGGGTGTTGTAGGTTCGGGGGTGTATAAGATGAGATTGGCCTCTTTTTTATTTTTCAAATGACTTACGACCATGAATAACTTACTAATTTTTACTGAGACCTTAATATGCTTAAAATACCATTTTATTGCTCGCATGCAAATTCTCTTTTTGATTAACATGGGGGATATTTTAAACCAAGGGGGGGGGTTTAAAATTAGACAATATCGATTTTAATTATATTTAAGGTAATTTGAACCGAATACCAACACCGCTAAAATTTCAATGTTCTATCGCTAAAATGAGTGTGTAAGTAGGCTTATTCCTAAATTCCAAGGACACAACTATCGAAATGGGGTTTTTTGAGGGGGTTGGAGTATAGATAGGTAAAAGGCACAATGGAACAAAATGTACACCATAAAATTTTGTATACAAAACATTTGTTTGTTTATATATAATCTTGCGTTTATATAATTTTTAATTGATGAGAATCTTTAAAATCGGGATTTTTTATTTTAACTAAAATTATCCCCCGAATTTGAGGGTTAAGTAGGGTGAGTAAAAATTCCGAAATCGGTTAAGGATGAACTTTAGGCATATTTAAAAACAAGTAATAGGTCAAACATACCCAAAACGGATTTTAACCTTCTCCAGGGCAGCCAACCCCCCAAAAAACAAGGAAAAATGGCTAAATTTCAAGTTTAAGCATGAATTTGGGGGTGAAGGAGTGAAGATGGAAAAAAATTTTAAAATACAAAGTTGTAGATCGTCAAAAGTAAAGATACGTAGGTGCTATCCGTTTCTTGATCAGACCTACGGTTGAGCCGCGACGGACGTTTGAACAAAAAAACATGATGAAAAATTCCAAAATTTTGTGTTTAGAGCGAAATATAGGGGGGAAGGGGTGGAGATAGAAAGAAACTTTATATTATAAAATTGTAGCTCGTTTAATTCTAAATACAGTAAGTGTGCTCCGTTTTTTGATTAGACCAACGGTTTAAGCACAATAAACGTTTAAAAAAAACGCCTTTTTCGGGATTTTCTAAAATCCACCCTCTTGAATTATTTTGGGAGGGTTGAAATTTGAAAATGTCACTTTTGGCAATTTTCTGGGTGATTTGGGACTAATACCTATAATTGTACGAAATTTCAGATCTCTAGCTATTCTAGAAGTCGGTAAACATTAGTATACCTGATCAGTGAGTGAGTGAGTGAGTTACACATCGGGCTGTATATTTAGTTAGACTCGCCTTTGGCTCGCTGGGGGCTCCGCCCCCAGGCCCCCTAGCTGTTAGTCGTCATTAGTAGATTAGAGTTAAGTTGTAACAAAGCAAGAAGTGAAACCGTCAATATTAAGTTATATAAGTTAACTTTGAGTAAGATAACTTCTAGCTTAAGGAACACCTCATAAAAAAATCATTTTTTAAGTTGCGGTAAGTGAGTATGTTAGTCAAGTATTTTTACAATTGAGTTTTTGGTCAAAGGAAGTAATAATATGAGGAGAGAAGGGTTCGTTATAGTAAAAATCGACATTAAAGTAATAACGATTTCATGAATTTATTAGAGGAGATTGATAAGTAAATAAGTTGATAATAGTAAAGTATTATATGAAGTAAATAGATTATAGTAGATATTCAAGTATATAATTACGAAAATAGATTAAGTAAGGTTTGTTTCCCTGTCGGTTAGCCATAAACTTTATGGCATATCCAGTTCCGCCACGAGGAGGCCAGGAAACGTCGGAACCATATTTGCAATTATTTGAATATGTACAAGTTAGTAAACTTTTGTACAAGATAAGTAAATTTATATTGATGTTCATTGATAGGTTAATAAGTTGATAATAGTAAAGTATTATATGATGTGAATAGATTATATTAGATATTCATGTATATATGATGTAAATAGAAAATAGATTATAGTAGATATTCATGACGTATATATTTATGAAAATAGATTAAGTAATGTTTGTTTCCCTGTCAGTTAGCCACAAACTGTATGGCATATCCAGTTCCGCCACGAGGAGGCCAGGAAACGTTGGAACCATATTTACAATTACTTACAAATGTACAAATTAGAGAACTGTTGTATAAGATGAGTAGATTGATTAGTATGTCGATTGATAAGTGAATAAGTTGATAATAGTAAAGTATCATATGAATTAAATAGATTATAGTAGATATTCATGTATATATTTATGAAAATAGATCAAGTAATGTTTGTTTCCCTGTCGGTTAGCCATACAATTTATGGCATATCCAGTTCCGCCACGGGGAGGCCAGGAAACGTCGGAACCATATTTACAATTATTTACAAATGTACAAGTTAGTAAACTTTACTAACTACTTTATACAACAACGGGGACTTTTGATAAGGCAGGCCCCCTATCGTACTGCCGATGTTGTCAAGTCACAACGGGGAGTTTTGATTAAGCAGATCCCCTAGCCTACTGCTAATGTCAAATCAGGTTTAGAGAAGGAGATCGCCATACACGATGTTCTTTGCGTATGCGATTCCATCTCGGACACGTTCGGGGTGTACGAGAACAACAATATGGTCTGGATGTCTGACCCTACTGAGCAAGACGTATAGTTGCCCGTGCGTGAAGCAATCGGTCCGTAAATCAACACCGACTGAATCTATTGTCTGACCTTGGCTCTTGTGTCCGGTCATGCAATAGGCCAACATCAGTGGGAACTGACGTCGACGAAAGTACGAAACATTAATAATATTTGAAGAAAAAAATTTTTATGTACGAAAAATTATCAAAAACCGTTAAAAATTTGAAGAAAATTTACCAAAATTTGAAAGTAGGGCGTTTTTTTTAGGTGAAGGAGTGCGATTTTCTAAAAACGCGTAATAGTGTCTTGTAGGAAATTTAATTCCTGTTCATGAAGATTCTTTCAAATTTTTGCTAGCTATTACCGTTTTTTAGTTATAGTCGGTATTAAAAACCGTGTTTTTTCGTTTTTATACGTCTACCATTTTGGATTTTTTTGGGGGTTAAAATTTTTAAAAGGCATTTTTGCAAATTCCACCATTAACGGATGATCCCATACTGCAATACTACAAAAATTTAAAGTCTTTAGAACGTTTCTAAACTAATCAGATGAGCATACCAAAGTATTAAAATTACATAGCTATTCTCCATAAGGATAACATGGGGCTGGTAAAACCGGTAAAAACCAATCAAATTTTCACATTAAAATTAAGTTTTTGGGGGTCAAGGAGTAAAGTTACGAAAATACATGTAAAGGGTGAAATGTAAAGTAAACTAAGGAGAATACGAAACATTAATAATATTTGCAAAAAATAATTATTTAGGTACGAAAACATAGCAAAAACCGATAAAAATTTGAAAAAAATTTACAAAATTTTGAAAGTAGGGCGTTTTTTGAAGCTTAAGGAGTGCGATTTTCTGAAAACGCCTAAGAGGGTTTTGTAGAAAATTTAATTCCTGTTCCTGGATATACTGTCAAATCTTTTCTAGCTCTTACCGTTTTCGAGCTACATCCGGTTGAAAAAAAAGTGTTTTTTCGTTTTCAGAGGTCCGCCGTTTTGGATTTTTGGGTGGGTTAAAATTTGAAAATGGGACTTTTGCATATTCCACCGGTAATGTAAGATCTTTTACTACAATACTACGCAAATTTGAAGTCTCTAGCACGTTTCTAAGTGGTTCAGATGGGAACACGAAAGTCGGCCATTTTTAATGTTATTCCCCATAAGAATAACATGGGGGGGGGGAATTCGAATTTTCGGGGGGGTTAAAATTTGAAAATGCGACTTTTTGGAATTTTATGGGTGGTTTGGGCACTAGACCTACAACCACCGAAAATTTCAAGTCTCTAGCTCATCTAGAAGTGGTCTAGAATTTGTATCCCCAGTCAGTTACACATCGGATTGTATAGTATTTAGACTCGCCTTTGGCTCGCTGGGGGCTCCGCCCCCAGGCCCCCTACATTAGAGGAGGTTGGCAAGTTAATTTCAAGCTCCACCTTAACGAACCCCTTATAAAAAATCATTCTTAAGGCTGATAAAAAAAGATTAGTAGATAAGAGTTTAGTTGTAACAAAGCAGGAATATTTATAAATTAAAATCGATTAAGTAATGTTTGTTTCCCTGTCGGTTAGCCATAAACTGTATGGTATATCCAGTTCCGCAACGGGGAGGCCAGGAAAAGTCGGAACTATATTTTATAATTATCGATATAGTAAATGAAGTAAATTGTTTATATAGTTAATGAAGAATTGTGATATTATTGACGAAAGTAACATTGGTTGAAATTGAAAGTTTTGGTATATTAAGTTAGAAGATGGTAGTAAAAATGTATATGTATTAATAGAAGAATATTAATAATACCATAGATAAATCATAGCTTAGTCTATGATAATACTGTGGGGTAGTGGATTGGCAGTAGTTTATGTATAAAAAAATATATATCTATGAACTAATGTTTGTTTCCCTGTCAGTTAGCCATAAAGTGTATGGCATATCCAGTTCCGCCACGGGGAGGCCAGGAAACGTCGAAACCATTTTATTTACAGTTATATAGATAAACAGTAATAGTATTTCAATTAAAAAGATGGTAGTAAATATTTATAAATATAGTAATGGGAATCAATTATGTAATGTTTGTTTCCTTGTCAGTTAGCCACAAACTGTATGGCATATCCAGTTCCGCCACGGGGAGGCCGGGAAACGTCGGAACCACAAACAGTAACACAAAACACACAAAAACACACGAAACACACAAAAACACAAGAAACACACAAAAACACACGAAACACACAAAACACACAATAACAAACTAAAGGTCGGGGACTTTTGTTAAGGCAGACCCCTTGTCGTACTGCCGTGGATGTCAAATCACGACGGGGAGTTTTGTTAAAGCAGATCCCCTAGCCTACTGCTTAGGTCAAAGTAGGAATTAACGAAGGAGCTCGTCGTATACAATGTTCTTTGCATAGGCAACTCCTTCGTGGACCCTGTCAGGATGGACCAGAACAACGATGTCGTCAGGATGTCTGACTCTACTGAGAAGGACGTACAGTTGACCATGCGTGAAACAGTCACTGCGAAGATCGACTCCGACACGATCAATCGTCTGGCCCTGGCTTTTGTGGCCAGTCATGGAATAGGCCAGCATGAGAGGAAACTGGAGACGGCGGACGCGAAGCGGAGACCCCTCGACAAACGGGAAAACGAATTGAATCCGGGGAATACAAATCGAATCGCGTTGTCCAGGAAGTCGCACCGTGATCAGACGAGGTCTAATAGCGGTCACGATCACTTTGGTGCCGTTTACGAGTCCGCTGTCAATGTTCAGGTTCCTCATGACGAGACACACGGAGCCAATCTTGAGTCGCAGGACATGGTCTGGCACGCCCTTGCCAGTAGCCTGGTTCAACAAGTGAACGTCCACATCCATACCGTCGTCGTGCTCCTTGTCCACGGAATCAGCACTTCTCAACTCATGAACGAAGCCGTCAGTCAGATTAAGAACGGCGTTGTTGATCTGCTGGACATTGGTGTTCATGGTTGAAAGAATAGCCCGGCCTGCGATTCTATCTGTATGGCTCAGGTCACAAACGGGGAATACAAAGTCAACTAAATCGTGAAGTGATGTCACATATCTAATACCGCTCAAAGGAATCAGACTTGAGCAGCCACGGCCTTCTTCAAAATCTACAGATCTAATTGTTCCATTGCCTACTTTTAGGAGAAACTCGGAGTACGCAGTGGAGCCAGAAGTTCTGTGAGGGGTGGACAGGGAAAAGATTTTGAAGCTTGACCACAGAGATGACGCACACAGTGACACACAAGCAATGTCTGCTGGAGTACGAGCTTTAGCTACAACTGGTGCGATCTGACGGAAATCTCCGCAGCAGAGGAAGATCTTGTTCCCAAATGGCTCAGGTGAATTCATGAGGTCACGCAGAGATCTGTCGATGATTTCAAAAATGTACCGGTGAGCCATCGGGGCCTCATCAAAAACTATGAGCTGGGCTGCTCTGATGAGTTCTGCACGCTGAGATCCGTTGGTCAAGTTCCAATACCCAGTGCCATCGCCGAGATCAAGTGGCAGCCTAAACATACTGTGTGCTGTCGTGCCACCAGGCAGACTACCAGCAGCAATGCCGGAGCTAGCGACAGCAATAGCAACCCTGTTAAGACTACGAACGTATGCGAGGATCACATGAATTAAGAAGGTCTTGCCGTAGCCACCAGGTCCGTCGAGGAAGATAAGTTTTATGGACCGACTACCAACCTGGCCATGTAATATCGATCTTACATAATCAAACACCACTCTCTGGTCGTTGGAAAGCTTTGGTTCCCACTCATCTACCAGTGATCTCTGTTGATTCTCACCGTAGATGAGTAGTTCCCTACCCAATTCGGTCGTGTCGTCATCTACAATGGGCAGACCGTGGTCGGCCAAGCAGGATCCCTGACGGCGAAGACTTCGATCGATTTCAATCAGACCCAGCTTGAAAGCAACGTCGTGATCAAGAGGATTCCGCTCCAAATGGTCCTCACACAATGTATCCCGGAAAGCATCCCACAAGAGGGCCGCGGGAGCTCCCATGTTACAAAGTAGAACAAAGAAAGAGCGGAGCCTCGGGCCGACCATAAATCGAGCAGCTTCCTTCAGTGCCTGGTGGTACTCGTCCTCATCTTCAACCAAACCGAGGGTGCGTGCTACTTGTTGGAATGTAGTGCAACCATCACCACCTCGAGCGAGCAGATCGGCGTAACCACGGCATGGTATTATCATGAGCAACAGCCGAAGAAAATATTGCTCACTCCTGTTTGGTGAAACCCAGAAGAGTCGACAGATCTTTTGGCCACGTTTTCTGGAAGTTAAGAAGTGCTTACCGTCTGGATGTTCGTAAACCTCAGCACTACTTGGACGTTTGCTGTGAACAATGTATTGTTCAAAAAAACACTGGTACGTCAAATTGTCAAACATTGGGTCACGAGGCCTATTGAAATAAAAGATCAAGTCAGAGGTAGCTCCAGAAGTGGCGTGTGTCAAGTTGTTAGGTCGAAAACACACATTCTGTTTTCCCTCTAGATGAACAGGGAGACATTCAACGGTGGGCTCAGACTTTGATATTGGGAAATCCAAGAGACGCCAGCATGCATCACTGGCTCCCACCATACGCTTAGTCACATAGTGCTCGACTTCATCGTCTTGTTTACTCAAAGGAGTAACTTTGACGTTCTGAAGCGAGCCACCCTTCATTAGATATTTAAATAGATACTTAATCACTCGTCGAGTGGAAGCTACCTCTAAGTTGATGTGTGCCTCATATTTTAGAAGCAATGCTGAGTTATACGGTACAACCCAGCCGTCATGCACAGGAATCGATCTGTTCCTTGACGTTATACTCCCTTCATTATTGTAATCACGCCGATATTGTACAAACCCTCTTTCATCTACGTGGGTTGTTTCACAGGGAGGCTTAGGGAAGAATTTCGTACAGCTACCTTTGTCAGAGTCCCAGCAAGGGAAGTCGGTTCTGTGATCCGTGCCACAAGGACCATGAACCATATGTCTCAGAACCAACGCCCTTAATCTGCCACCTGCCTCTTCCTTCGACGGGATATCAGCTCGAATGATGGAGTCTATGTCTGCTGCCTGAACAGGTCCATCGCCTTCGATTTTGAACACGATGTGGGCATGTGGAAGGCCCCGCATCTGCATTTCGATAACGTGGACTATGTACACAGAACGACCGAACATAGCTCCGCTACGTAGATCCCGAAGAAGTTCCAGGAGCTTAATGTAAAAGACCCTGCAGGCTGTACTGGGATCACTACGACCACTGCCTCGAGGACAAGCCCTTTTGTTTTCCTCCCAAGTCGCACTGTAGGTAAATGTAAGGAAAAACGTAGGAAAGCCGAGACGAGAAACTAAGGCCATAGCATTCTCGTAACGCAATTTCATATACCTCGGCCCCCCTGTGAACGAACTTGGGAGGTAAACTTTGCCAGCTTGTATCCCACCCTCCCCCTGAACAGTTTCATCATTAGCAATGTCGTTCAAAACCTGACGTCCTGCTTGATGTCCACCTCGAGTAACCGTCTCAACTTCATCCAACGGTCCTATCCGCATGGCATTTTCAACTGATTTAGTCTGCGTAAACTTTATATAGTTAAGCCTTTCTTCCTCGTATCTTGCATACATCTCGACCTGCCAAGCTTGAGACAGTCGGCCGAGATGCGAAAACCGAGGATCGGATAGTAGGAGGCAACGCGAATAATCATATTGCGACAATTTCTTATTAAAGTTGTCCAAGCGTCCTATGTGCCAGCCTAAAGTGCCATGGGGATAGAGCAGAGGATATTGAAATGGCTCCATAAGGGGACTGAACAGATTTATGGAACTGGGCCTACCAGAGCCAACTTTCCAAATCGTAAGCTTACGGGGCTCGTAAACAGTTTCCTCAGTGCTTAGAACAGCGTGTACCTCAACACCTGTTTGCCTGTCGCCTAGAATAGGGCCATGGGTAGCTCTACTTGTTACTTGGAAGTCCAAGTGAGCGTTGACTGCAGGTTCACTACCTAAACGCCGATAGTGAACAATGTACGGATTTTCCTGTGACAAAAATCGCGTAATTAAGTCAATTATGCCACCGTCGAGAGATCTACCCAAGGCAATATTCCGACGTTCTTCACCGTCATCGATGTACATGCGAGAACGATTTACAAACTGAACGTCCCCAGCCTTAGTAGTAAACTTTTGACCAGAGTCGGACAGATTGTAAACCTGGTGGTACATTCTCCCTTCAATTTTGAAAAATGAAAGACCACTTGGATGCCTGTACCCACCAGATAGTTCTAATGCACAAAACGCAAACATGTCGTTGTAAGCACGAGCCCTATCGAGAAAACGGCGATCTGAGTAGAACGATTCCTGAAGAGGCTGTAGATTAAGAACGTTGTTTGCCCCTTGACCACAACACCACTTCTTTCTACCCTTTTCCTCTTCAAATAGTCGAGCACCACAGTAAGAACACTTGAAAATACTATCATCCCAAAGGCTAATTTTGTTGAGATTAAAAGCAGGAATATTGTTCAGCAACTCCCCCTCCCAAGAACCCATTGGACCGTGATGAAAAATATGTCTAGCAAGTGCTGCTGGCAAATGACGAAGCTCAGAAAGCATAGGATTTTTCAGACGGAAAATGGCTACCCTTTGCCGAGAGGCGTCTGGATTCTTTTGACTGTATCTTCCAACAGCTTCCCTATTTACCTCGGGATGAGTTTGGCTGTAGCGCCCTACAGCCTCCCTATTCACTTCAGGATGAGTTTGGCTGTAGCGCCCTACAGCCTCCCTATTCACTTCTGGATGAGATTGGCTGTAGCGCCCTACAGCCTCCCTATTCACTTCTGGATGAGATTGGCTGTATATACGGACAGCCTCCCTATGAGAATCAGGGTGGGTTTCTCGGTGACGGCGAGCATCGTCTACATTTTTGTCCGGGTGATTATCCGTATATTTCTTCTTTGCGGCAGCAATTTGTTCGTCCTTAGTCGTGTTTAAAACTTTAGGACGCCCACGTTTCAATTTTTTTGGCCTTCCGGGTCCTTTTCGGGGAGTTTCGAGATTGGGGAGGGATTTAAACTTTCTCAAAGGAGAAATCACTACAACTGGATATAGGGTATTCAATTTTGGATCTTGGAGGAAATCAGGACTGGGGCACTGTGAAAGTGATTCGTTGATAGAATCGTTAAGAATTAGAAATTCAGGGCTAGGACAATGTGGGGTAGGAGTAAAATTCAAACTGGGGAGTGGTGTGATAACAGGGTTGAACACAAAGTCAAGCGAAGCGGATGCGACATGGCTATCGAATTTCAATTGTGTTATCGAATATTGATGTGCATTGGCTTCATACACTACGTTACATAGCAGTAGGGACGCTAAAGATATGTAGCTATCACACGCAAACAGTCGAGCCAAGTTGTTGCCCCTGATACTGATGTCATGCTGACGATGTTCATTTACTGCATGTGGATCAAACAAAAAGTATTTATCTTGGCTGTGCCAAAAGCCAACAGTCACGTTCAACCCAGTAAATAAAAACCCGACATTCACAGTAGCTCCTACAAACAATAGCTCTAACTCACAGGCGAGCTCTGCGATGCTATCATCTAATAAATCACGAGTTACTGGGTACAAAGCATCATATACATAAGAAATATCAACACGAACTTCATTTCCAGCAACCGTAAACTCGTGTGGAATTTCATCAGGGAACAAAAACCTATTGCCACCAACACAACCCTCATTACGTAATGACCTATACAATGCATCACCACTTAAGAGTATGGAATCAATGGCAAAAGTAGAGAATTCTTTCCCCAGAGACTTCCAAGCGATGGCACAGGCTGAGTTTGCCACACATTGGGCGTTTCTGCTGTAAGTAAACCTCGAATCCCCTTGATGAAACGATCCACTGGCAACACAAGTATATGCCATGTTTATACTTAATAACTCCGGAATTTAACACGATAATTGAACTAAGAGACAAACTGTATAAACAACAATTAAACGCAGAAGTTTTGCGTCTAAGTAAAGCACTACAAAGAGTCCCTAAGCAGGTACAAAGTAACTAATAACACAACCAGTCTTAAAAAACCAAATTAACTTAGCCTACTAAACAAAAGGTAGGCTCAATAAAGATGTTACCTACTCAGGATTAAGCTAAAAAATCCCTGGGATTATACGGTGAAAAACTAAAAACCAAAACCACTTATACTGTACGGCACCAGCGACAAAAACAACTAAAAGCCGTTAGGGAATGTAAATATAAATGGTGGAAATAAAATTCAGGTACTCAAAAACTTAAGTACTCGATTTTCACCTGACAAGAAATGAGACCACTGACTACTAAATCTATAAATGGTGCCAGCTATACAAGCCAGCTACTCAAAAACTAAACCTACTAAATTATTAACTAACAACAAGAAATAAGACTACTGGCTACTAATTTTTGTAGTAGTCAGTAAACCAAAGTATAAATAAGAACTAATAAAACGATGGCAACACGTACTAGCTGACCAAAAAAACTTAAATCTACAGTAAAAACCACACAATATTTGATTTCTACTTCTATTTACTGTTAAACAACTAATCAACTCTCTAACAACAAGTTGTTCAAACAGTCAGTGAAAACTCCAAACTATAAAACAATAACTGACGGACGAAAAAAACCAATAAATTTCCAATAAAAACCACTCAGTAGTCTCAAATGCTACACAACAGCACTGAAGACTTAAATCCAACAAAAGTCAGCTAAACTTGAGAAAAACAAAGAATTTTCTAAAGCAAAGGAAGAACCAAGCAGGAGTATGAACCGACAAGGAACGTGGCTGAGCAAGAAATGAGACGTCGGCGTCGGGGTGAAAGTTACCCCTTCTACTACTACCATGGAGGGGGTTCTGACGTAGGCACTGACCCCCTCTCCTCCTCCTGTGAGAATGGATACGCGACAATATTGTTCAAATAGCAGTGTATATAGTTTAGTTTAAAAATTAAATCAGATCCCTCGTTATTGAAATTCTACTAGACAATTCGAAGTAATAATACTGCCCTAACCATCGGCAAGGTACCAAGCTATTATTTACCCGTAATAATGCGAAAGAAAATATTCCTACAACAGGCGGAAAGCATATAAAATATAAAGCTACACAGCATTTATTGCTAGTAGTAGCTGTCATAAAAGTATTTATCAGTATGAGCATTAAAAAATAATGTTATGCTAGTAAAATCTGCAGTATGTTTAGAAGTCTGTGTATAATCTACAGGATTCACCAATTTTAAATAACAGCCACAATAAAGCAATTTAGTCTTAATTTCATAACAATTGAACACATTAAAGTAATTTATTGTAACTTGTAACTAATAAGACTGTAATCTTTCTTCCAAATTTAAATGCTATTACTATGGTGTTTTTCAGAACCTAATAATTATTACATTATCATAAAGCAGCTGGCGTAAAATTACAACCGTTAATGAACTACGGCCGACATACAAAATAGTATAGGTAATACACGAGTACTTAATTAAGGTGCGAACACAAGAACTTAATAGTATATTACATAACAAGATTAGAAAGTGAGTCATTACATATTTTTAGACCATGTTTGAGGTGCGAGATTTATCGAGATTATAAATGGTCGAGAATATGTATAACCCAACTTTCACTAGTGCTTTGAACAATACAAAAAACTACAAACACTACACTACAAAGACTAATATTATTTTCTTAATTAAAACAGACATTGGATATTTCTTTATTTTAGGCGATGCCTTAAATGTCAAGTTAATATTTACTTTGGGTTTACAGTTTTGGTCGTTGAAAATTAAAATAGTTGACAAAACAATAACAAATCTTTGTTTGTTTACGTCGGTGAAATCCCAAAAAGATAGTCAACATTACTTTCGCACAGTAAACATTATTTTTCTGTAGTAAAGAATGTAATGATGGATTTTCACAGGTAATAAACTTACGACGAAAACAGGTCATTTCACATTAGTGTAGCGAAAACACATTTAAGACTGAGTGCGTAGTAAAAATTAAAACACCGTAACGACTTAATTTGACATTTACGAACGAAAAAAATGGAAAAGTTGTTTATTTCATATTATACTATTTTTGATTATTTGTTAATCAAGGGAAAACGTAACATTTTAAGAAGAATTTATTTTAGTGATAATCCAATCAGGCAAATATAAATTTATTTAGTGTGCATGTTAGCTGTGGTGGGGTTATTGCAACATATTTTATACTGTATTTTATAATTATGGAAATCGTAGATATATCGTAGGCCTTTGTTATTTAACCTCTCAAACACCAAGAAATATGCTCGGTCCCCTGGTACTTTGGGCTAACAGATGGATCTCTTTCCAAAAACTGTCAATGAAACGTTTACGTTTTTAAGTGCCTATAAGTTATTGTTCGGTGGTATATTTTTATGAATCATACTAAATGTAGTTTTACTCTACTGTAATGTATTTACGTTATTAGTAAATATGCAATCCGGAATTATACACCCCAAAACGTTTTTTATGAGCTTTTTTAAGTTTCATCGTAAATTAAATTTCAGGAACCTAGATTGTCATACCCTATGTATATATTTTTAAGATTAGATTGCTGGGGAAATTATATAAATCAGTTCAGAAGATTCAAGACGACTAAAGTTGGAGCCCAAGTAATTGTCCAAAAAACACATAGATAAACGTCCATGAAGTTTTTACAGTAGTTTTACATTAATGAATCACAGTACAGTAGGTATACAACCTATTTTTGGTCCGAAAAAGCGTACATGTTTGTCGGGGAGATGGTGTAAGAATTATTTAGGATAAGTCAATCGCTCTTAATTTACCCAGATTGGAAGGTGGGGAAGATCTCTTACCGTTTTTAATTTATAACCGTTTAAAAAATGTGTTTTGTCGTTTTTAATTGTCCGCAATTTTTTTATTGTTGGGGGAGTAGAAATTTGAAAATGTCACTTTTGAAAATTTTCTGGATTATTCAAAATAACGTTCAACATCTTCTTCAACCCAGCCCCCCTAGGGTGGTAAGGGGGATTGTTGGAAATATCCTCGGAGAAAATATGCTCCTGAGTAAAATAATACAATAATAAGAAGTTTGTAAAATACTAAACACTACAGTCTTATGTGGTTTTCAGATGTCCCCCATCTTGAATTTCGGGTTTGGGGGGTTAGGACGTGAAAATGGGGCTTATGAAAATTGTAAGGGTTATTTTTTGGTAACGTTGTACTCTATTGTAAAATTTTAATTCTTTAGCACGATTCAAAACTTGTTATATCCGCATACCAAAGTCGGCCACTTTCAAGGTTATTCCCTAGAAGAATAACAAAGGGGGGGATTCCATATTTCAGAGGGGAAGTTTAATATTATAAAATGTCACTTTTCGAAAAAGGTGCAAGACCTACAATCGTGCCAAATCTCAGATCCCCAGCTAATCTAAAAGTGGGGCTATGCACCTGTAAGAATAACATGGGGGGGGGGGTAATTCAACATTTGGGGGGGGGTTACTATTTTCAAACGTCACTCTTTGGAAATGAACAATATTTGCAAAAAAAATTGCTGAGGTATAAAAAAGTAGCGAAAACCATAAGAAATTTGAACGAAATTTACTGTTTTTGAAAGAAAGGGTGTTTTTTAAGAGTGAAGGGTTGTTCGGAAAACGCCTAACAGTGTTTTGTAGAAAATGTAATTCCTGACATTGAAATTTCTTTCAAATCTGTTCTAACTCTTACAGTTTTTTAGTTATAGCTGTAAAAAAACGTGTTTTGTCGTTTTTAGATGTCCGCCAACTTGAATTTTTTGTGGCGTTAAAATTTGAAAATGGGGATTTGGCAGTCTACACCCTATTCAAATTTCAAGTCTCTAGCACCTGTCTAAACGATTCAGTTGAGCATACCAAAGTCAATATTTCAATCTTATCCTTCATAAGAAAAACATGGGGCTCGTAAAAGTGGTAAAACCATTCAAATTTTGGCATTAAACCTAAGTTTTCGGGGTCAAGGAGACAAGTTACGAAAAATCATGTAAAAGGTGAAATTTTAAGAAAACTAAGGAGAACACGAAGCATTAATAGTATTTGCAAAAAAAAATACTAAGGAGAAAATAGCGAAAACCGAAAACCATTTAAAGAAATTTACCAAATTTTTAAAGTAGGGCGTTTTTTGGGGGCAAAGGGGTGAGATTTTCGAAAAATGCCTAAGAGTATTTAGTAGAACATGTAATTCCTGTCCATGCAAATTCTTTCAAATCCTTTCCAGCTCTTACCGTTTTTCAGCTGTAGCAGTGTTTTGTGGTATTTAGGGGTCCGCCATTTTAGATTATGAGGAAGGGTTAAAATTAGAATTTGAGATTTCTTTTTAAGATCCCATACCACAATACTACCAAATAGCATGTCTCTAGCACATTTCAAAGAGAATCAGATGAGCATTACAAAGTTTTAAAATTTAATATTTATTCTCCGTAAGAATAACATAAGAATTAAAAAAAAAACGCCTTTTTCGGTATTTTCTCAAATCCAACCTTTTGATTTTTTTTTAGGGGGGGGGGTGTTGAAATTTGAAAATGTCACTTTTGGCAATTTTCTGGGTGGTTTGGGACCAATACCTATGATTGTACGAAATTTCAGATCTCTAGCTATTCTAGAAGTGGATAGTGGGAATGTTCTTTCTACGGGGGGCAAGAATTTTTCCGGTAATTTTTTTTTCAGCGTTAAAAAACCAATGAAAATCAGGCAGTTGAAAGTATTTAATAGAAGGGTCGTTTGTGGTGAATATCAAACACGTCTTGACATGTTACAGTCCCGATGTGGAGTTGCTGCTCTTAAGATTGAAAATTTGCTAATTTACTGTAAAACTTATATTGAGTTCAATAAGTGTTGCAATAAAGTTATAATCTTTGGAGTAAGAGGGAGGCAAAAATATTA